ATCTTCTTTGGAGAAATATCTGTTCAGAGCTTTTGTCCATTTTAAAAATTGGCTTGTTTTTTTATTATCAAATTGTTTTTTATATATTCTGGGTACCAGTCTTTTATTAGATATATGACTAGCAAATAGATTCTTCAGTTGTGTGGGTTGTCTTTCTTTACTTTCTTGAGTGTGTCCTTTGAAGTACAAAATTTACAATTTTAATGAAGTCCAATATATCTATTTTTTCTTTTGTTGCTTGTGCTTTTGGTGTCATATCTAAGCAACCCTCACCTAGTCCAAGGTCAAGAAATTTCGCAGCCTTTCCACAGGGCTCTGGGGCTGGCATGCTCTGACTGTTGTGAACTGTGGCCCAGCTGCTTAGGACGGACCCCATTCCTCCAGGTAGGCCCTGCCTGGGTGTCCTCTCCGGTAGCAAAGACTGGCTGCACTGTCTCTGCTCCTCTCCTCACTCCCCATACTGCCCAAGTCTCAGGGGCAATCTGAAGGCCTCAGTGGTCCTTTAGCTCAAAGATTTCGGCAGCTGTTTTGCCAGCTTTCATGTGGCTAGTACTGCTCCAAGTTTGGTCCATTTGCCTCCCATCTCATGCAACTCTAACACCGGCTCCTCACTCTGCACGGAGCAACTCCAGCAGAGACCTGTGGGGGAACCGGAGGCCGCCCGCCAGCCCGCAGCCACCACCCAAAGAGCCATGGCCATACCTGAACCCTCAGAAAGCCCAGAGGGAACAACACATTCTGCTACTCACCTCTTGGGTGCCTGCTCCCAACCCAACAAATGAATAAACACACCTCTTATTCATTCTTTTGATTACAATTGTGTGCTTATAATGTACCAAGCACTGGGAATATAGGAGTTCGTGAGTATTCTATTCTTGGGTTCGAAGTAGGTGGGGAACGCAAGCACCTTAACACAAGTGTGATGAGAGTCTTGGGAGCAGAAGTTCAGGGGTGGTGAGAGAAATCACATAGGGGCTTAACCTAGCAAAAGTAGGTCAGGAAAGGCTGTCTCCTGTTCCCACAGAGGCTTACGCTTTTTCCCCTCCTGGTTTCAAAGCTCTGTCCCCATCCCTCCATCCCCACACAGAATGGGTGTGGGTATAAAAGCCACACCCCCAAGCACATTAGCTCAACCCCTCGGGCGTGGCCTGGAATGCAGAAAGAGTGCACGGGACTGGCTTCCTCCCTCCGGGTCTGCTATCCCTCCACTGGGTCAGCTTTTGAAACAAACAAAGAGAACATGCCTTGGGGGTGGGGCAGGTAGGAGAGGGTAAAGGGCGGGTAAATGGTGACAGAAGGAAACTTCAGTTTAAGTGGGGAACTCACAATACAAAAGAGTGTGGGGCAAACGTAGGTTTACTGTTGTGAATATGTGAAACAGTTTATTCTTGTATTATTATTTATTAATTACTGTATTATTTTCTATATGAACAAACCTACTTTCCCCTACCTGTATAGAGATGATGTATTATAAAGTTGTATACTCAAAATCTATATCATTTTATTAACCAGTGTCTCCCCAACAAATTCAATTGAAAAAAAGCCCACAAATCTTAGTGAAAATTGGTCAACTCCCCGTCTCCGCCCCAAACCTGTTTTATAAATAGTTGCTGCCATCTAGTGGACAAAGATGTCCTTACACCCATATACAGACTTCAAGGAAATGAAAACTCCCCAGCCTTGCCTATTTATGCCCCACCAGTCACTCCATTCTACCTTAACAAAATCCAAAAGTTATTTTTTTCTATGAAAGCACAGGTCCTAGAACATTGTAGGTACTCAGTAAATATTGTTTGAGGAAAGGATTGTTTGGGAGCATTATCACTTTATTTCTTTATATCGCATTTTAAGTATGTAAATATTATAGTAACACTGTTGGGAGTAATTGTATTGCTGTGGCTTTAAAGGCAAAAGTTAGTCCCTTAGCAATTTAAAATTGTAACAATTACTGTTGAGTTAAGCTATGGCACTAAAAATGTATTTTAAAAGACAATCATGTTATTGCTAAATAAGTCCAGCAAAAACCAGCATGTAATTATTTTTTGTCTGTTTGCATGTGACTCTTAAAGCTGGACATGTAGGTTGAGGGATGGTGAAGTTTTTGCTCCCTCCTCCCAACCCAGTAGTGCCCTGTGCAGATCTCAGAGCCAGTATCTAAGTCAGGGGTGTCAAACTCATTTTCACTGGGGCCACATCAGCTTCTTGGTTGCCTTCAAAGGGCCAAAATAATTTTAGCACTGTATAAATGTAAATACTCCTTAACTGCTAAGGAGTTGAAATTACATTTGGCCCTTTGAAAGCAACCGCAAGGCTAATGTGGCCTCTGAAAGTGAGTTCAACACCCCTGCTCTGGGCCATGGCATCCTAACAACCACAGCCTCCTTACAAGAATCCACATAGAAACAGAATGCTCTTGCCTCCCTACATAGATTTAGGCATGCACAGCTAGATGATCCAGCCATTCTCCCCTGATAAGCTTGTTAGGAAAATCAAGTCAGAGAAGCGGAAGCCATTTTTTAACACTAAACTGAATGGGAAATAGTAGAAGATATTGGTGTTCCCGTGGCTGCCTTCTCTACGTTTTCTCTAAACCAGGGTGTCCGATCTTTTGGCACCCCTGGGCCACACTGGAAGAAGAGCTGTCTTGGGTCACACATTAAATACACAGACACTAATGAAAACTGATGAGCAAAAAAAGGTTTCAGTAAATTTACCATTTTCTGTTGGGCTGTATTCGTTGTCATCCTGGGCTGCGGGTTGGGCACCTTTCTCCAATAAATAACATATAATGCTCTTTCCAGGGTTTCCCCACAATGATTATGCTATTTTGTATATTCTAATCTCACTTTGTAATTGTCCTCAATTCATCTTGTGTATGTCAGTCTCTCCTGCTACGCTGTAGACATTTATGAGGCTGGAACAAACCTTTACTAGCTTTTTATCTATTCCCCAAACCAGGGCTCAGCCCACAGCAGAAGCCTAATTAAAAACAAAGTAAAAGACAAAAGTTGATTTGAATCACGGGGATCCTTGAGTCCCCAGATTGCTCAAGACTTCTACTTGCACAGGTCAATCTGCAACTGTGAACCCTCATACTACCAGGAAGGAACATGGTGTGAAAGCCAACTGCAACTGGATAAATACTGGGGCCTAATTAAGTATATAAATTGCACCTGCTACTTTCGTTTTTCCAATAAGCATGAATTCTAGACACGAAAATACCAGTTTGGAGAAAAGTTGCTGTTTGTGGACATGAGCCGATGCTTCGTAATTCACTACACTACTATGCAGGGACAAAAATACAGGTCGGAGTCAAGTTTACCCGACTTTGAATGCCTGGATCCCTGCCCCCATGTTGTTTGGTTACTCACCTCCTCTGAACCTCAGGGTCCTCATCTGTAAACACTCTTACGCAGATTGACTCTCCTCACAAGCCCCAATTCTTGCTTTGAGAGTAACTTTATTAAAGCTGGGGGACAGTGAGACAAGGGCTTGGAGGCAATGAAGGGGGCCTTGGAGACAGTCCCGGTTAGCCCGGACATTGGTGTGCTCCCGGGAAGAGGGTTCCCCCAGTTTTCCATCACACAGACCAGCGATGTGTTGTTTCTCCTTCCCATATAAAGAAAATATCGCCATTTTTCTCTCTCCAATTTCAATTTCACTGATGAAATTTAGACATAATAAAGGAAAATTGACTGCAGCTGTTTCATGAACTGCACTCACTTGGTTATGTTTACCAAACTAGATTAATGCTGAAAATTGTGGTTACTGGGAACTTCCGCTGAAATCCCGTCACAGTAGCCTATAAAATGCTACCTGGGTTTCACTCAGTTACCACAAAGGCATAGGAGGGAGGGCTCAGTCAGAGGTTAGGTCCGGTTACTCTGTGAGCCTAAATTGTGGCCTAACTCCCCATGCCCATGCTCAGTGATAGTCTGAACCAGCCACCAGGTGGCAAGCCTGCACCACTAGGCCCTGAATAGGCTTAGCAACCACTTTGTTCAGCCTTGAGGAAATGGAGGCCCAGGTGGGCAGTGCTGCACAAAACCTGATTCTTCGCTGGCAGAGAACCATGAAGCTTTTTGCTCCTAAGCAGGCGTATCTCAAGGCAGTGGTGGTTGGACAGATTTGGTAAACAGAACTGTGCTCGGAATCAGCTTGTCTCTATTAGATAATTTTATGGGTTAGGTTGGCTGCAATTAACTCACATCCTAAGACTATTAGCTACTCAACACCTTTCCAGACCCATTTTACTCACAGGTGAGAAGACCCTCACCAGGTCAACTGACAGCCAACCTGATTTACCACTTAGCTGCTGGGAGTGAACAGTAACAAAGAACCTGCTGTGAGCAGTTTGATGGGAGGACCGACCCTTAGACGCCAGGGTATTGGATTCCAAATGGCTGTTCCTCCCCAGTGGCTGTCCTCAAAATTTCCCATTACGCGTTGAACACACCAAATATTTCAGAATTGCATACCTGTAACCTGTTTTTAACCATTACCCCATTCAACTTGAAAAAAACTGAGCCATTTGTTCAGTAACTCAGTTGGAACATTGAACATTTGGGATTCACCCTCCTTCTTAAAATGTCTTAATTTTTAAAAAGAGAAAGATGGACTGCCTCCTGCAAGACAGGCACTTATCCTGCAGCCTCTCGGGCTGCAGGACCACACCCAACCCAGGGAGCTCCACCCATCAGGGAACCCTCCCTTCTCCCTAACACTTCCTTCCCAAGAACTTACCCAACCCTCAAGAGCATTATTTACTGTCTCTGTAGTTCAAACTGTTTCAGGTCTAGTAGTGGCATATAGTAATTTCAGCCTAGAAAAGCCCGAACTACAGGTTCTCCCATTTCCTTTTACTTAAAACCTTCCTCAGGTATTTGCCGATGTTGAGCAACCAAATCTGCATTTTATATGCCCCAGATGCTTAGGCCAGGGGTATATATCCAACCCCAGACCCAATGTCACCCCTGTAAACACTGAGCCAAACAACTTTATGGTGCCAATTTAAATAGTTTATTTAAGACATCGCATTTTCCACTTTACAATACAGTGCTTATAAAGTGCATTATTTCCCTGTGCACATAGTCCATGTTCAAGTATCAAGAATGCTGTTTTATTATACAGCAGCTCAACTTTTAAAACTGCCATGGAATTTGCTACAAATTTGGGTCCTTCAATATTTTATGTGGAACAATGCTAAATCAATGCAAGAGGGTTGGCTTAATCAACCTCTTCAATGGTGGGCCCAGAGGAGGCACCCCCAGATGGAGGGGCTCCACCCCCAGGGAAGCCCCCAGGCATTCCTCCTGGCATGCCACCTGCACTCTGGTACAGCTTGGTGATGATTGGATTGCAGACTTTTTCCAGCTCTTTCTGCTGATGTTCAAATTCTTCCTTTTCTGCGGTCTGAGAAGAGAATACAACAGTATTTTACTATCAAACGAAGGAGAGGAGGTTCCATGCATGACACAGTCTGGTAAGACACCAGACAGAGAAACCTACTACTGTCACAATAACAAAGCCTATGTACTAATTTGGGTCACTCAGACATCCAAGGAAGGTAGTTGCCAACACGACTTGAATTCTGGTGGAAACCGCGAATGTTTGGACCATTCATCCTTGTGACCCTGTACATTTACAAATGCACCTATACCCACCCAACTCAATTACATACCTGGTTCTTATCAAGCCAGTTGATGATTTCATTGCACTTGTCAAGGATTTTCTGTTTGTCCTCATCATTGATCTTGCCTTGAAGTTTTTCATCTTCAACAGTTGCTTTCATGTTGAATGCATAGGATTCAAGTGAATTCTTGGAAGACACCTTGTCCCGCTGTTTCTCGTCTTCAGCTTTGTACTTCTCAGCTTCCTGGACCATGCGCTCAATGTCTTCCTTGCTCAGACGACCTGTGGAGTTATTTAGGTATGTCCTGTTAATATTGGAAACCTACAATTCCCAACTCCATTAGTGATTACATGTAATCATCGGATAAAAGCCCTGGGGGAAGGAATGGCAGGAACATTTAGAACATGAAATCACTGAGACTGAAAGCATGGCACAAGACCAGATGACATCAACACACTTGTGCTTTAACTTACCTTTGTCGTTAGTGATGGTGATCTTGTTCTCTTTTCCTGTACTCTTATCCACAGCAGAGACGTTAAGGATGCCATTGGCATCAATGTCAAAAGTGACTTCAATCTGAGGAACACCACGAGGTGCAGGAGGGATGCCTGTGAGTTCAAACTTGCCAAGCAGATTGTTATCCTTGGTCATGGCGCGCTCACCTTCATAAACCTTGGTAGAAAACAGAAATTACTGCTTTGACCAGTGTGGCTCGATTGTGCCATTCTGCAAAATGAAAAGGCCACCAGTTTGATCCCTAGAGTCAGGGCATGTAGTAGTAAAATAGTAACTCAAACTCATTGTTTCTTTCTTTCTCCCTTCCCTTCTCTCTAGAGAAACCAAAATGAAACTTTCAAAAAATCCGAAAATATAAATTACTAGAAAACCATCAATTCTTGTACTACTTCTAAATATAAAGCTCTACTAGGGAAGACTGATCATCACTCAGACATCCAAGGAAGGAACTGGCCAACACAAGACTTCTGGTGGAAACTACGAATGGTTTTGGATCCATCATCACAGTGAGCCATGTCTTCCCTAGGTTTCCAGGACCTCAGGTGTGTCAAGGCCAATCAAGCTAATGAAGACACATACCTGGATGAGTACCCCGGGCTGGTTGTCTGAGTAGGTGGTGAAAGTCTGCGTCTGCTTGGTGGGAATGGTGGTGTTGCGTTTGATGAGGACAGTCATGACCCCGCCCGCGGTCTCGATGCCAAGGGAAAGAGGAGTGACGTCCAACAGCAGCAAATCTTGAACATTTTCAGATTTGTCTCCAGAGAGGATGGCTGCCTGGACAGCTAGATTAAAAAAGAGTAGTTTAAAAAAACACAGCAAAAACTCATGTTTTCATGAACAAACCTCAATCGCTCAGACATCCAAGGAAGTCAGGCTATCATTAGCTAAGCTTATAGTGGAAACTACGAATGTTTGATAAGCACTCATCACAGCGAGTCAGTTTGAGCCTCAATTAAGAGGCTGCTTCTTAGAACTGTTCAATTAAGACAGTAGAATTACCTGCACCATAAGCAACAGCCTCATCAGGGTTGATGCTTTTATTCAGCTCCTTTCCATTGAAGAAATCCTGCAGGAGTTTCTGAATCTTGGGGATACGGGTAGAACCCCCCACCAGGACAATATCATGGATCTGGGACTTGTCAAGCTTGGCATCCCGAAGAGCTTTCTCTACGGGGTCCAGGGTGCCACGGAAAAGGTCAGCATTCAATTCTTCAAATCGGGCACGGGTGATTGAGGTATAGAAGTCGATTCCTTCATAGAGTGAATCAATCTCAATACTGGCCTGGGTGCTGGAAGAGAGAGTGCGCTTAGCTCGTTCACAAGCAGTACGAAGGCGACGAACAGCTCTCTTATTCTCACTGATGTCCTTCTTGTGCTTGCGCTTGAACTCTGCAATGAAATGGTTGACCATTCGGTTGTCAAAGTCTTCTCCACCTAAGTGAGTGTCACCAGCTGTAGATTTGACCTCAAAGATTCCATCTTCAATTGTGAGAATTGACACATCGAAGGTGCCACCTCCCAAGTCAAAGATCAGCACATTTCTTTCAGCTCCAACCTGCCATTAAAATAAAGATTTATTAGTTATCTTAATTTTTGATGGCTCAACTTTCATTGAGGCTTGGCTTAACTCAGCCCTGGCTAGTGTGGCTCAGTGGACTGAGCACTGGCCTGGAAACCAAAAGGTCACTGGTTCAACTCCCAGTCAGGACACGTGTCTGGGTTGTGTTCCAGGTGCCCAGTTAGGGGAGTGTGAAAAACAACCAACATATGTCTCTCTTAAGCACTGGTTTCTCACCCTTCCCACCTTCCCGTCTCTAACAATGTAAAATCTTAAAAGCCCCTCAAATATGTCTAACAAATGGCACATACCTTCTTGTCTAAGCCATAAGCAATAGCGGCAGCAGTTGGCTCATTGATGATTCTAAGTACATTGAGACCAGCAATAGTTCCAGCATCTTTAGTAGCCTGACGCTGAGAATCATTGAAATAAGCAGGTACTGTGACAACAGCATTGGTAACAGTCTAGAAAAAAAAAAAAAAGAATTAAAGCCAAACCATCAGTCACTTCATAAACATGTTGGCAGTCACATACTACTTACTGGAACATATACTTGAAACACAGGACATTACAGAAAACATTCCAGTGAAATAAACGGACCAATTTCTTGTTACTACTATATTCTTGGTCAAAACCGAAATTATTCATTCACCAGGGGGGAACCTGGTATCTAATGTTTTCCTGTCTCTACCTATCTATGTCTTATCCCTATAACACTGCATTACTCACCTTTCCAAGGTAGGCTTCCGCGATTTCCTTCATCTTTGTCAAAACCATAGATGACACCTCTTCTGGATAGAAGCTTTTTGTCTCTCCCTTGTATTCTACTTGGACCTTGGGCCTGCCAGCATCATTCACGACCATGAAAGGCCAATGCTTCATATCAGATTGCACAACAGCATCATCGAATCTTCTTCCAATCAAGCGTTTGGCATCTGCAAAACGATAAATACAACCCCAAATCTTTTCTCATACCTTTACAAATACTCTAGCTCTCCATTATTCAAATACTAAAATGCCTTATCAACCCAAGTCCACGGTAAATGATCTTAACTTTGGAACACCCAGCACTTTTTTTCAGGTTTTCCTGATATCCTAAGATCAATTGCATTTTTAGCCTAAGCAGTTATCAAAGGATTATGGTGCGAGGACTAGTTCTAGTTCATTTAAGGCTTAAATGATTTTCCCAATTACGGGGACTTTCCTGGCTGCTGAATCATTTAATCTTCAGTTTCTCTTGCCCTGGCTGGCGTGGCTCAGTGGTCTGAGCCCCCTGCCTGTGAGCTGGAAAGGTCACAGGTTGGATTCCCAGCCAGGGCACGTGCCTTGATTGCAGGCCAAGCCCCCCAGTCGGCGGCACGAGGGGCAACCGATGGATGGGCCTTTGCACACTGATGTTTCTCTCTCCCTCTTTCTCCCCCCCCCCTCTGAAAAGCTTCAGTTCCTCAAATTACTTGCTTCCTAGCCTAGGTTACTTCGTTATATTTTTTAAATTAGGGGCTTACCAAACACTGTGTTGGTGGGATTCATTGCGACCTGATTCTTTGCAGCATCACCGATCAATCGTTCGGTATCGGTAAAGGCGACATAACTTGGGGTGGTTCGGTTTCCCTGATCATTGGCAATTATTTCCACTTTTCCATGCTGGAAGACACCCACACAGGAATAGGTGGTGCCAAGATCAATACCAACTGCAGGTCCCTTAGACATGGTTGCTGGGAAAAGAAATGTTTAAGCACTTAGAAGCATTTCCTTTGTTAAATGTCAAGTCAGACTATGAGGAATGACCAGTTAGATAACCCCTTAAACACGGCCCTTGTGGGCAATAACCACGCGGTACAATCAGCAAATAACGCTTGTCTGCAGTTCAGGCGGCCGCGCCAAACGCAGCAGAGCCCGCCTCTGGCTTGACAGAAGCACCTGCCAGGAGGGTCTGCGACACTGACGACCACGTGGTCTCCAGCTCCGGGCCGCACCTCACATCCCTCCAACATTCCCGCACAGCCCGGGGGCACCGGGAGCCAGCACCGCCCAAACTCCACTGCTGTCAGAGGCCCCATCCCCCGCCTTGGGCGCAGGCCAAGGAGGGCTGCCTAGGCAGGACGGCCTCTCCCAGAAGCCGGCGTCCGCCCGGCGCTCCACTTCCTGCGCCCGGAAGGTGGACAAGGTCCCCTCCCCGCCCCCCCCCGCCGGGAGAGCGACCTCCCCAGCGGGACTGCACGGCCGCGGCCCCAAAAACCTGCAGCGCGGGCGCTGCCTCCGCAGGGAACAAAGCTCCTGGCGAAGCGCAAAGCTCACCGCGCTCCGCCCACGGAGCACTCGGCCCTTCCCGGCCAGGCCAGGCCAGGGGCGCACGATCCTCGGACTGTCTCATAAACTACCAAAGGTTAGAAAGACAGAGGCCTTACCTTGGTACGCGCACGGCCCGCAAAGACCTAAAGCAGCACAGCTCCCCTGTGTTCAATGAGACCGGTTTCCGGCTGCCACCCTGTCTCTTATACCCTGCCGCAGAACCTTCCAGAAGGGGCCCGCCCTGCCGACTGCCCGTCAAGCCTGCTTGGCCAATGGGAGCGTGGCTGCTTCCATAAGCCCCAATGACGACCCCGGCTCCGCCCCTGGGCCTTGCCCCGTTCCGCCCCACCCAACTCCGCCTCGCGATGACGCACTCCCCGCAGCGTTCTGGAACTTTCATTCTCGCCCCCGCTCTCCGAACCGCCCGGGGGACAGGGCGGGTGGGGCCGAGGGAGCCCGCGCGCGGGAGTCCTCAGTCACCCCCAGCGGGGGAAGGGCGCGTCCGCTTCTGCGCCTGCGCCCCTCGAGAGCACGGGCGGGGGCTGGGGGAAGGAGAAGGAAGAAGGCGGGCGAACTTGGTAGCGACCAATGATGGCGGCACTGTCTGCCATTTGGGTCGAGGCGGTACCGGGGGAGGGCTGAAAGGCAGGGCTCCGGATCGGCGCCGGGGAGAGAAGACGGAAGTTGAGCTAGGACAAAATGGCCGCGAAGGTTGTCGCGCCCTTCCCCCACCTTGGTCCTCATTCTGCTGCCCACAACGCCGCCTGGCATTGCAAAGGGTCTTCCAGACCCTGAGGGTTTCCACAGACCCAGGTTTCTAGCTGGCGTGCCTTCGGGCTAGGGCTGGCCTCAAGGGCCCGGAGGCAGGTTCCGACCCCTGAGCTCTGTTAGGGTAACTTATCCGGGTGCACCCAGAGCTGGGGCTTGGGGGTCATCTGAGCGTTTGCGCAGGGTGGGACAGGTTAGCCAGGCAGGCCCCCAGAACCCTCACTTCACTGTGTCAGCTAGGGGCCGACAGCTCCCGTTGCAGAGATTTGAGAGGCTTGACTTCTCAGCACGGCCCCCGCCCAACCCCAGGGCCGCATCCTGTGATCCTGTGTCCCTACTCTCGGCTACCACAGTCCCCGCCGCTCCCCACCTGCCGCCGAGGACAAGCTGGGCTTCTGGGCTCAGCTCCCTCTCCCGGTTATTAGGAGGAGGAAAGGTAACGAGCTTTTTCCTTATAGGTGAGCCAAGCTTTAGGAACCCGAGTTTCTGTAGCCCCGTGTCCTTGGGTTAGACTTGCAGCCTCTTATTGAGGTAGTGTCTTTCCTGTTACGACTTTTATGAAAAACTAAGGGAGATACTATACAGACACGCTGTGAAAGCACTACTGATCGAGTGCACTAAACAACAGTATTTAAATTTCGGCCTTGTCACACTCAGAGCCTTTCTCAGTACCTTGAATCTTTCCAACATGTTTCAGACGGGCAGGGCACCTTGTCCTTGTCAAAGCCGGTAAGGAAGGTCTAGACACAGATTCAAACATAAATTTTCTTTCTATATTTGCCTTTTGGAGGGAATATTCCATTCAGGCAGGTACTGAACTTCTCTCTACCTCTCAAGAAGTTACATTTATATGATGCTGTGAAAGCAAGGTGTTGCTTTCATTTGTTACCTCATTTAATCATTGAAACAATATTCTTATATTATTCATCCCTGTGTTACAAAAATGAGGTTCATTGATGTCATTGTGGGAAGTAGCTAGCTGAACTAGTCAAACCTAGCCTTCTTTATTTCATATTCTTTGCTCTTTTTTATTCGTTCCGCAGTAGTGCAGTTTCCTCTCCAGAACCACTAAGTCCGACTCCAGAAGGGAAGCAGTGTCCTGTGACAGGCTGCTTTCAATTTTCTTTGGTACCTGCAATCTTCCTTTTCCCACCCAGTTTAATAAATCCCGTCTCTGAACTACACCCTATATTTTGCATCTTTTGTGATCTCTGAACTATCTAGAACATTTTAACCATTGAGCCAGTGGAAAAATAGAACTAGGGCTCAAATCCACTGGTTTGGAGTATTCCACCAAAGGGCAGTGGTTACAGAAAGTGGAACAGAAAACCTCTGTTTCTGATCACTCTCAAAATGCATTCTAGGACTGGGACTGTGTTCTGATGAAATAGGATGACTGGATTGATGCATTTAAAGTTCAGGATGTGATGCCTACCCTGCCTGCACTCTGCAGATGCAGAGTTTCAAACATGGGTAGTATCTAAAATGAGAGTTTGGGCGGCAGTGGAGGGGTCCAAGGCCTAGGGCTTCTCTCTGGGGAGGAGGGTTGTGATGAGCACTTTGGCACGCCTGTCACCTGCCAAGCACCTCATTTAATTTCGTGAAGTTTTTTCAGATTTATTTGAATCCCTAGTGTTTACTTTTCTGTTAGTATTTTACCTTGGCATAAAATACTTGCTTAGTAAATATTAATTGTTATTTTGATAAAGTCCTTAAGGGCAGGAACCCTAGCATGAATTCTCATTACTTGGAGATACCAAGTACTACTTAGCATCTTGCTCATGAGTACATACTTGGTATATTTGTGACTGAAATCAATAAATAATAGACCTCATTCAGTCTGAGTTCTTCTGTTCTTCAGCTGGCAGAAAGCTAATGAACAAATTTCCAGTGTGGGTTACATGAGCTTCAGCCTCTTCTACAGTATCACCCTTACTTATTTTTTAATTACTGATACAAACTCATCTGTAATAAATATTTGGTTTTTGTGATCAAAGTTCTGATTACAAGGCAACTTAGAAGACTAAAGTATAAACTGTAACAAAAATGAAGCAAAAGGATGTCTCTTTGCAACAGCAATTCTGAACTTGGTTTTGTATAGTGCAACAACAAAGGCATCGACTTCATTAATTTACAATTTTAAATTTATATATTTTATTGAAATTGTTACTCTCTAAACATTCACATCATTTTGTTTATATCTTCTTCCTACAAACATTTTTTCTTCTGTCATTTGGTTATTTTATCCTTTGTTTCATAATCAAGAATCAACTTTATTCGACTTACAAAGTTAATGGAATGTGGTTTGAAACCAGCAGTGGCTCAAACTGTATCTCAAGCCCAGATCCTGTCCTGTCTGAACCCAAAACTCTGACTCAAGGAGAACTGCACTGTCATTGCTAAGACTCCAGTATCTTATCTCTTGGGATCTTCAGGCCCTAGAATTTCTCAGATTGTAGGTAGTTACCAGTTCTGTGACTTCTTTGTTGATTTGTATTGGAATAATTTCCAAAATAAATAATTTGGTTATTTAACTGGTATTTTAGTCTTCTGACAACCATGTGTTTAAACTACCTAAATATCATTTTTATGCAAAGTGGACTGATCCCTGCTCTCAAAGGCACGGGTGGGGAAACCTTAGGTTCAAAGGTAGAAAGGAGTGCTCACAGCAAAATTGTTAGTGGTGGTAGAGCTGCAGCCTCCACAGTGACCTTTGGCTCAGGTACTCCGGGAATGAGAATTCTCAGTATTGTGTAGCAGAAGTAGTGATACGTTGCTGGATACCACTACCAGAAGAATAAAAAGTAAAGTAAGGGATTTTATTTCTTACAAGGAGGCAGCATTAGTATGAGAAACATTCCAAATATGCTAGCCCTCTTAAACTAACACCAGACATTCTTTACACTACTTCCTCAATGTCTCTTGTTTCCCAACTTTTTTTAGAGTACGACAAAGTGCAGATGAAAACTTTCTCCCGAGGGTAAACCCCTGTTTCTTACAGGGGTTTAGAAGGAAATGTGTTTGCCCTGTGTGAGGACACTGTGGTAAGAATTAAATGTAGAAATGGAAAACCAGAGAAATGGAGCACAATCCCATATCGGCCTCTTCTGTTTAAGCATCTGATTCCCATTTTAGAAAGCAGTGGCTTTACCACACTCAGCATTACCTTTTCTTTTTTAGAGCCTGCTGCCTTTTTAATAATAAATCTTTTACTCTTCCAATAACTGGCTCCTCGAACTATTTCAGGAATAGTTCAGGTTTCAGCATAATTAGTGATTTCAGGTTTTGAATTCTTGCCATAGGATGAGTTTGAGTGGCAGAGTAGTCACAACTATTAAAAGGGCAAGTTATCGCACTTGGAGGCTGCTGTTAGTTTTTCTTGTTTTTTTTTTGTTTGTTTGTTTTTTACATTTTCCAGACATCTTTCTTCCCCCGTGAATCAGCTTTTCTGAGAGCTACCCTGGTGAATCATTTCTGCTACTTCTTTCCAAGATACTGACAATTGAAATGTTAATGGACAATCAAGCAGACCTTTCCTGCCATTCACTAATTATGCTGTCTCTTCTGGAAGTGTTAATTCCATTTCCTCATACCCCAGAGCTACACTTCCGTAGAGGCTACATTGGTAAAATGCTGAATTTCTCTGTGTCTCAACTTCTGAGGCAGGGATGATTTTGACATGCAGTGCCATTAGGAAATGTTGACAATCCTGATCTTCCTGTAATGTAAGGCCTAGAATCATCAAAAGTCCCAGGTTCACAACCTTTTTCTAAAACGAAACAGAGAAAGCTGCAAGTTTGGTGCAGTTCTAAACTTCCTTATACCATTCTATGACACATTAAGAAAATTGGTCTAATCTCCCTTTCTAGTCTAGAAGCCTTAATATTCTGGTTTTGTATGTTCTCAGAAAAACTGTAATGGTATGCTGGGTAATCTTTCAGCATCTTTAAGAGACTTGTTTCACGGTAAGACTTCTTTATAGGGACATTGTCAAATGGCATGTAGTGAATGTTTTCTTTCTCCAGAGATACCCAGAAGGGAAGTCTGCAGAGACATCTGATTTGAGGGGAAACCCACACCTGTCCCAGGATACATTGCTGACATTTGTCAGTGACCCTCTGGACATCATTAGGATGAGAGGTTTTTCACAGTCCCCGTCACACATTTTTGGACTCTCTTTGTAGTTCTCTTGTAGTTCAGTATAAGTAGGGGGAAATTAGTGGTGGATAGAGTGGGAGGAACTCAACTATTGTCCTCTGTGTCCCATTATTTCAATTCCTGTTGAAATCTATATCCAAACCTAGTGGTAAATGAAGTCAAGATGGAATAGAAGAGACCGTTCCTTTTTTGGAGTTTCTCAGAAGTAGTAATCTCAGGACACAGTGCAGAGGGGTGTAATGTAAGGCTGTGGGTTCTGCTCGACTCTGGATAATCAATAAGCCATCTTATAGAAAGGCATAGGAAATCTATGAACAACTCGTTTCCTCATGACAATCGTGAATTGAAGTATTGATACAAAGCATCTCAGGTGAGTTTTTTTGTGGGTTCACTTCCTCTTTCCTCCGACTTTCTCACCCCAGGTCCTGCTCCACAGATAGGTTCAGACCCCTGCTTTCCCCCACTCTTGTCTGAAGGCAGGAGATGCCGTTTTGGAGATGGTGGGCTCACACCCTGGTTGGGTGTGCTCTGAGGAGAGTGCTCATTTGAATCTGTCCAGTGCAGCGCTCCCTGCTAGTAGATGACCTCTCAAATGACTGGGGGATGGTGTGGCTGGTGGCTGGGCTGTGACGACTAGAAAACTCCTAAGATGCTGACCCCAAGGACAGCCTGGGAGTTCAAGTGCACCATAATTCAGACAGTTTGGAAGGGCCGGCTCTGGCTGGGGCCCGTGCTAGGTGTGGCTTCTGCCTCGGTCAGGGCGGCAGGACGCAGGTCCTCCGGCGCTGCACCTCTTGCCCCTGGCCCTGCTCGGCCGTGCGCGCGGGGGGCAGGCCGCGGCGCCGCCTCCGTGGACAGTGTCCGCTGGCTGCGGGAGGCGCTGTTGGCAGTGGAGCGGGTGGAGGCAGAGCCGGAGCGCGAGCTCCGGGAGCCCGAGGACGAGGAGCTGGGTTTCACCAGGCGGGCTTTGGGCGCCTCTGCGTCTTCTCTGAGGAGGAGAAAGAGTGAGGGTAAAATGTAATACAGGAGACTCTGATCATGTCCACTACGGACGCTTCCTTCTGAGGTTCCCCTATGAACATAAGCTGTAATTTAGGGAACTAGGGACTGCCCCATTTCCTGGGACTGAAAGTTTGGCTTGGGCAAAGGGACCCTTTGTCAGCCCAGAGGGCTGGACTGCAGGCACCTTGCTGTGGGGTTTATGACTGAACCCTTTCATGACCAATAGGTTATGCCTGATGCTCTTTGTAAGCAGGAGTGAATTGGAAGTAATGTAAAGTTAATTTCTCTTCCCCCCTAAACATTTAATATTTCCTAAAAAGAAAGGGACATTCTCTTATATATACACGGTATAATGATCAAAATCAGGAAATTAACCATTGATACAGCACGATTAGCTAAATCAACCAACCTTATTCAGGTTTCACTAATTGCCCTAGTAACATCTTTCACAAAAGTGAAAATCCCAGATCATGCATGACATTCAGTTGTCAGGTCTTTTCAGTCTCCTTCAGGCTACAGCACTTCCTCAACCTTTCCTTGTGTCTCAGGACCTCAGCATTGTTACTCAGTAAAGGCCAGTGTTTACGTCGTCTCTCAATCTGGGTCTGACGTTTCCAGGATTGGAGTCAGGCATGCATTTGGGTCAGAACATCAAGGGAGTGATCTCTTCCGTCTGCGTCAGGGATGGATAGTTTCACAATAAAGGTTGGCCAGACCTTTTGTTCTAGGCTGGAGTTCCTGACTTACCAGATTGGATTTCTGGTTAAGAGAACTGTGGGACATTTATGTTCGCTGGCCACTATGGAACTGGCCCTAGAAGGGAAGCCGACGGGCAGAGGAGCTTGTGCAATGAGGCTTACCGAATTTCATTAGGTCTCTCTTCCTCCTCATATCGCTCTTTGTCTTTCTTTCGGATCAGCAGCCACACCAAGAGGAAAATCAGCAGTGCACCGGCCACCATGCCTGTCACGGCTCCTGCAATCATGCCCATGCTTTGTGCATCTGTTTTCTCAGAAGCAAAGGTGGGAACAGAGTGGAACATAAGCTAGGAAATACATGGACCTGAAAACCACAAGCCTGGACAGGTCGAAGATTTCCAGGTCTTTATATCTCTCTTCCTGAGTTCCCCATTTACCCCCACTTGGTGCATGACTATCCTGCTTGATGGGGAAGGGTAGTAGAATATGCCACCCAAAATAGGCCTCGGTGACTTTAAGATTATTTTAAGCTGAATATTTTCGAGAAAGTGCAGACACAGGAAAAGCTCTGAAAATAGAAGTACCCCTTTATGAAGGAAATCTCCGTTTGGTTCCCTCCTAGAAATAATAAATTTCTTTCGGGGAACTGGTAAATTCATACATAATTATACGTAGAGAGTTAACTATAACTGTTGAATCTTTCCTGCAACTATCAAATTTATTTTATTGAGAGCCATGCTTTTCTGGAAATAAAGACTTTTACTTGACCTTACTCTTATTCGTGATTTAACATGTTTTACACTGAACTACAATGCAAAGAGATAGATAAAACACGCTCTTTGGATACTTACACCGCACAGTGACTCGCACCACACAGCTCTCCTTCCCAGCCTCGTTGCCTGCTGTGCACTGGTAGAGTCCAGAGGCGGCCATGGTGAGGTTCTGCAGCAGAACGCGCCCTGGGTTGCGGTTGTCTGGGCAGGCAGAAAGAACGCCGCACTGCTCTTAGTGACGGGGTCTAGGCATATTGCTTATTTTACTACATCGCTGATTTAAGATTCTCTAACACAGTTTGGTAAGGATGACATAGATGACAGAGTAAATCCCATTTGGGAATGGGGAGGAAGGGTGAATGTGCTTTTAAATTTTGAGGATTCTCGTGAATCCTCAAAAGTTACAGAAGGTTGTGAACATTTAAGAGATACTAACCACGATAATTAGATTTATATGGTACATTTCTTTCTAATGTCTTTTACCACTTTTACAATTCATTTGAGGAAAGAAAAGACAGTCCCAGTTTATGGATGAAAAAAGGAAGTTGGAAGAGGTTCAGTAGTGTACTCAAGGTCAGAGAGTGAGTTGCTGTCAAAACCAGATTTAGAATTCATGGATGGAGTCCGTCCTGTCATCTCAATAGACTGGTAGAAAGATGACTCACCAATCCTAGATTTGGGAGGCAGATACTCATCCTCCCCCTCCTTCTCCGGGACTCGCTGCCAGTTATACATGATGGGCTTCGTGCCCGAGGATGACTGACACTGCAAAGTCAGGTCACTGCCTTCTGTCAGTTCTCCCTCCAGCTCACACTTGGGCTTTGATGGTCTTACTGGCAAGGAAAGAAAGTTCTGAATCAAAGATCTCCAAACAGTAGATTCCATGGGAGAATTATGTCCTGTTGAGTTGTTTCTCCAGCCATTCCTTCTAGTTAATTTTGAGTAGGGGATTCGACAGCCTTACCCCGTTATCTAGCCCTGGGTTAGGTTGCCCCCCCAGAAATACATCCACCTCTGTCCATTGTACACACATACACCCAATTCCAGCTGCTTCCAGCGATGCTGTTGTAATTTTCAAAGGCTGCTCAGAAACTACATCATCGCTTCTCAAAGAAGAAACACATTTTAATTGGGAATTTTAGGAAAGTTAAGTGTGGTTTTACTAATACTGATATAAGGATAGAAGTTCACAAATTTGGAGGATATTAAGTAGAACTTAGTAGCTCCTGCTATTAAAAAACACACACACAAATGGAATTGAATCACATCTATGAGAGAGATTTAAGTTAAATAATAAGGATATTATTCAAATATTAGAGGATACTTAATGTTTTTATTTTATTTTTTTTCCATTGATCTGACAGAGGGAGAAACATCAATTTGTTGTTGCACTTGTTGATGTGTTCACCGGTTGGTTGCTTCTTGTACATGCCCTGACTGGGGGATTGAACCTACAACCTGGGTGTATGAAGACAATGCTCTAACCGACTGAGCTACGTAGCCAGAGGGATATTTAATATTTTTAATGGGCTACCATGGAAAATTGTGATTATTTTTTCTTCTTTCATTATGGCTAAAATACACAACACACTTCTTCCCAGGGAACTAGAGTAGGTGACCTCTGAATAGAATCCAAATACCGAACAAGAACTTTTGTAGCACCATGATGCATTTGACTGTCCCTCACACAGACTTTATTAATTAGATGTAGGCATTTATCACTCTTGGGTTCCAACCTACTTTGCGGTGAAATGGCTAAACGCACCAAGAAGTTTGGGACCATTGGTAAATACAGCACCCATTATGGCACCTCCCTCAGGAAAATAGTGATGAAAATTGAGATCAACCGGCACGCCAAGTACACTTGCTCCTTTTGTGGCAAGACCAAGAGGCAAGCTGTAGGGATCTGGCACTGTGGTTCTTGCATGAAAACAGTGGCTGGTATGCCTGGACCTACACCACCATTTCTGTTGTCACAGTCAAGTCTGCCATCAGAAGACTAAAGGAGCCTGGCTGGTGTGGCTCAGTGGATTGAGTGCTGGCCTGGGAACCAAAAGGTTACTGGTTTGATTCCAGTCAGGGCACATGTCTGGGTTGCAGGCCAGGTCTGCAGTTGGGGGAATGCAAGAAGTAGCTGATCAATGTACCTCTCACACATCAATATTCCTCTCCATCTTTTTCTCCCTCCCCCTGGCTCTAAAAATACATAAATAAAATATTTTTTAAAAGAAGACTGAGGGACTTGAAAGACCAGTAGAACCTTTACAATGTGAAACATTGCTAGCCTATAATAAATGGGTTAATTTATGAAAACGAAAAAAAAACTAGGCATTTACCTTGGCACTCTATCTTACCTAAGACTTTTAAGTTGACATGGCTCCACACATAGCGCCCTGAATTCTTCACCTTGCAGGTGTACCGGCCCTCATCACTGGGCTTCAGAGGCTCAATCTGCAAGGAAGCGTCTCCTGCCAGGAAATTGGAAGCGAAGGCCACTCGGCCCTTCTGTTCCTCAGTCAAGTTATTGTAGACATGCTGGCTGGAGTACGTGATTACCTATGGGACAGACCAAGGCAGGGTCAAGCAGTGTGGTCTCACCTTGCTCTCTGGCTGCTGTCAAGGCAAGGAGTGGGACTACTGCCAATGGGACACAGCAGTAGAGCCTGGGCTGATACTAAGGATCCAAGAGACCTGTTCTAAATAAAGTTAAAAATACAATGTTTGTCTAGGCCCTGCTTTTCATTTTAGGAATAATAACACCTCATATTTGTGTACCATCTTAATATAATAATTTCATTACATGGGTGCAGGACCATCCCATTTTATAGGTAAGGGATTTTAAATGTGAGTTACATCATTGAAGCCACATAGAGGAAAAGCACAGTAATAGTGTTAAGAGTTGACTCTGAGGAGACTGGAGAGAATAGAGGAGAAGGGTGTAGAGCAAGACTTACCTTCCCCTTTTTAACTTTCGCATATTCTACCAATGCCATGTGATTTACTCAAAGAACAAGTACAGTCCCAGTGTTAGGTGCTTTTACATCTCGTTTATTTCTCCCACAATGTTCCCAAGTAATCCTTGTCCCCATTTCATAGACAGGTAGCAGAACCTGATTTGAACATGTCCACCTGAAGCCATCTAGTTCATTGCTCTGGTACACCAGTTACCTCTCACCCTTCCTTTTCCTACCTGTGTTTATTTTAATACTCATTAACTGCTCTTTCAGAAAGTTTAGAAATGAAGGAGAAAAAGTAAAACCAAAAATATTAACTTGTTTTGTCCTCACAAGTTTAGAGTCCAGCTGAAGGGATTAGAGAGCTAAGGAATAGAAGTTAATGGTTAAAACACAGGTCTGTATTGAATGTCAACTGTAATTGACAAATACAATTGGGCGGGGTGGGGGGGTAAGCGGTAATGGAAGGAGAGCTGACTTGGGGCGGTGCTCACGCAATACAGGGTACAGATGATGTATTAGAGAATCATATCCCTGAAACCCATGTAATTTTTTTAACCAATGTCACTCCAATAAAGTCAATACAAATTTTTAAAAAATTCAGGTCTGATACTGAGGGCTTTATTGTTTGGTTTCCCTTTTCTGATTTCACTGCAGATTAGTAAATTAGATGGGGAAAATTGTGTCCTTTCCTTCCATAAAATACACATGAGCTTCATGTCTTCATTTTTCCAGGTGAGGAAACCAAAGTTTAGCTTTCCGCAACAGAAAAAAAATAATCTTGAGTTTTACTGAATTTTCTTCTGTCTGCACCACAACCCTTACTTCTTGAACCCCTACTGATCTTGTCTACCAAGACTTCAAGCTCCTTAACTTCAGTTTCCTCCCCCTTGCCATGTAGCAGTCACAGTCTTAAAGTCATTGAATTTAAATGTCAGCAGACGTTTATGGAATGAATGATTCCCATCAGGTCAAGAGTCTACTCACATGAGTAAAACCCCCTTCTTGTCATCAAGTCATTTATAATCTAATAGGATTAACAAAGAGAGAAGGACAAACATAGAAAAAGTAATGATTAACCCTGGTTGGTGTGGCTCAGTGGACTGAGTGCAGGCCTGTGAACCGAAAGGTCACTGGTTCAATTCCCAGTCAGGGTACGTGCCTGGGTTGTGGGCCAGGTCTCCAGCTAGGGACGTGCAAGAGGCAACCATACATTGATGTTTCTCTCCTCTTTCTCCCTCTTTTCCCCTCTCTCTAAAAATAAATAAATAAAATCTTTAAAAAGAAACAAGTAATGATTAACTTGAAATTGTGTCAAAGAGAATGTCCCAGAAAAGTTGGTGGCATTTGAGTTAGGCTTTGAAAGATGAGTAGACTTAGAGGCAGGGAGAAGAGAAATGGAGGGAGGATTCCAGATACCCAGAGGAGCACTAGCAGAAGGCATGCAAGTGTGTGGGAGTGCTGAGCACATTTCTGGCTGCAGCTGTTTACTTATTTGTATTTAATTTTATTTAAAAAATATTTTTCTTCTTTTTGTTTGTTTTTTTTTTGCTGCAGCTGTGGTAAATTGTTTCACTTCTACTTAAGCCCTTAACCCAATCCTCAATCATGTGATGCTCTGCAACTCATTAATCGCTTTCAGAAAAGATTCAAAGCCATCCAATGAAATGTCCATTAATTCTTTCTCCATTATGTACTGTTCTACAGTCTCATGTATTTTGCCCTTACCACCTCTCTGAAAAAAGTGTCTTTTCCTTTCTCTGCATATTCTGTTTCTTCAGCTAACATTTATTGAGCTCACAGGCCTGTGAGGATGGAATAAGACAGTTCCTACCCTGAGGAACCCAGTCTTGTGAAGAAAAAAAAATAAGGGAGAGGCAATTAAGAGAAAATTAAGGTTAACACTGTAATGATCATATACTTTAAAATTTTTCAGTATACAGCTTTGCCCCCTCATTTCAACCAACACAATTGTGATAATTACCATATCCTTCTCTCTGGTTCCAACGTATTTTTGAGCTCCTGTTTCATATTTCCAGCTGCCTGGCAGCTGTGTATTTCTGTCCTTTTGGATCACCCACATAATAATGTAAGTTAGCACCAACTTCATATTAACATAAAACTCATGTTAGCTCTTTTCCAGCTCAGAAACCTCCCAGTACCCCCAGCTGTTGGGAACTGCCCTGCCTGGTATCAGAAGCTGTAACCCCCACCAAGGCTAAGGCTGAGGGAGTGGCCTTGGACCGTAAGCCAGCAAGGAGACAAAAGCTTATCTCCCTGGCAGGAATGCTGCTTCTGCTGCTTCATTCATAACTGAACCCCAAAGCTTGGTTGGTTAGCCAATGACAGGTAAGATTCCCCAAGGGGGGAACGACCTAAGACAGGCACGATCACATGGGAGGCCCCCAAGAAAGGACTTTGGGGGCTACAGCAAAAGGGAGTGATGGACCCTCGCTCCTGGGCTTTGACACTGCCTGAGTCCTCGTTGTCTGGGAGAAAATCTCCTTATCTCTTGGTTGCCTTAGTTCCCTTGCTCCACCTAAACCTGAAACAATGATAGGGTGGTGCAGCTCTGTGCTGAAAGGGGTGGGTTCCCCAGGTGATCAGGCCTAAGAAAGAATATGTAAGATCCTGTGACACCTGCTTTGTTTAGAATGCTCTCAGTTGAATGATAAGGGTCCAAGGAAGAAGTAAGTTTGTTCTTTAAAATTTTACAGCTGTTTGACCCTGATTCAAAATAGGCCCTCAGACTTCCTTGTTATCTGTTGTTTGATCCTTACTTCCTAGCAATGGGTAATGAGCTTTTACCTGAATTCTTATTCAAACGAAACCAATAAAAAGCCTCTCTAGAGGGGGAACGGTGCACTCTCCCCACCAGGGAGGGTGGCCAAGTGGCGCGCTCCCCACATGAGGAGTGGCCCTGCTGTTCCTATTCCCCCACAGGACCTGGTTGTCTCTGTGTATGTTTTTTTTCTTGTGTGTTGACGAACATCCGCAGCCAAGATGGATACTGCAGGCTGGTATCCATCCACACCCAGCACCTCTCAGTGACAGCCAGCCTCAGACCAGAGGCCTTAACACGGTGTGTAATCCACCTCGCGTGCCTGGGCGCAAACAGAGTACGCAATTGCCCTTTTATAAATGTGAGTTGTGCCTTCTCTGTACTCACATGCTTTTGCCCACTGCATTTTTCTGTTTAGAAACTCCCTTTTCTCTACCTGTTCACATGGAGATTCTCTCTAAGTTCTTTCACCCCAAAATCAATATTAATTCCTTACTAAATCTTCCTGGATACAAACTCGAATGGCCTTTTTTTTCTTAGCTCTCATCCACAGCATTTCTTTGCACCATTTTTATGTGAGGAGAAATTGTGAAAGACTTCAGACAAACAGGTTACTGGGTCCTCTTTCTCTAATGCTGGGCGTGTCCCAGAGCTCCCTCCAGGCCTTCTGATTTTGTCTGTTGCCCTTGATTGTCTGGTTAGGCTGTTTTGCAACACTGCAGTCTTTTAGTCAATAAACATGTATTACATTTTGAACATATTCTGTACTTGGCACTCTGCTAGAGATCATAACAATACAAAGAAATGAGATTTACAAGTAATGTTGTTAGGGACCAGGACCTGCCACCCTAAAATATACCACTTTGCATATGCATAAGAATTAATTTCATCTGAAGACATTTGAACCCTGACTGGTGTGGTTTGGTGGGTTGGGTGTTGTATTGCAAACTGAAAGTTCGCTGGTTCAATTCCCGATCAGGGCACATACTTGATTTGAGGGCCAAGTCTTCCGTTGGGGCAAGTGAGAGGCAACTAATTGATGTTTCTTTTGCACATTGATGTTTCTCTCTCTGTCTCTCTCTCCTCTCTCTCTTTCTCCCTCCCGTCCCCTCTCTCACTTCAAAAAAAAAAGACACTTGAGCTTCTGAAAGTACTTATCTGCCTAAAATAAGAGCCTCACAAAAGAATTTAAGTGTCATAAATGCCTTCCTCCAAAACAACTCTAATCTTCTCTTCTGGGAGAGCAGAAACCTGGCACCATACCCAGACAGTCCTATCACAAACCAGCCTGTCTCCCATCTGTCCTAAGGACCAGTTTACTTTTCCAGAAAGCCATAAGTTCCTTTTCTCACCCTCCCTTTTCCCTGCTAAGTTAGCTGTATGAGCCCAAATTCTAACCTCCTCTCTGAGTTATTCATCTCTGGGGACTCCCAAGTGTTACAAATGTGATACACAGGTTAATAAATTTCTGTCTTGTTAATCTAATTGGCTGTGCCCCAACCTAAGAAACTGAGAAGATTGGGGGGGGGCGGGAAATTGTTTTATTCCCTTACAGTCTTAAAGAGTAACTTTTTTTAAAAGTAAACCCACAACATAGAACATGAATATGTATCAAGTATTTTCTTTAACTCGTTAATGGTGTTAAAACAGGTTCAAATGAGATTGGACTAAAAGAGATTCCTACTGGCCTTTGGACAAAATTCATTTGCATCTCTGTGAACTAGAACAATGTGCTCCCCCATGGATGGGAAACATGGCACTGCCTTCCGAATTCCACAAAGTAATTTCAATTTCTGTGGAAATTAATACACGAGGAAAAT